CGTGCTGGTTTGTCTCGTGTAGGATGCCCTCGACTGAGTCTCGATCAAAGCCACACCATGGAATCGGCAGCTCCTTTTTAGAAGTCCCTTGGGAGAGACAGTTTGGCGAGCAAAAAGGCCTCCTCTATCCCATGCAGATGGGTGGGGAGCGGCACATCCAGCAGTGCTGATTTATATGGAGGCGTGAGGCAGTGGGGGGGGATGTTTTACTGAGCCCAATGCCAAGGGTGGATCCAACTACGAGACGGCTGCTGCAGGCTCTCTACTGCTGTTGCCTTTCGGAGGGATGAGTGCAAGGGGAACACGTAGAATATTACACACGTGTTATGCTAGAGGGGACACACAGGGAACATGTAGAAGATCACACACGTGTTATGCTAGAGGGGACACACTCTCTCTCTCTCACCTGAGTTTCTCCCAGCACGTCACGGTTCTCAATAGGAAATGGGTTTTGAGAAATAGAAAAAGTGTAAACTGGATCCTTGGGGAACGTGGTAGTAATCTAAAAATTCAAGAAAGAGTGGTTAGTGCTTGGTGAGGGTCCCTGGGCACCGGAGACCTCGGTCCACTGTCTCCAACACAGGCCATCCTCAGTATAAGTCCAAGAGATCTTCTGAAACACTTGGACTTCTAGCGAAACAACTGAAAGCAGGGAGGCATGGCGGAAATCTGAGCTGGGACTCGGGGCAGTTGGAGAAACGCATCAAGAGCTCACCCAGATCCCTTCTCTGCACTACCGGGCCCGCCCTCGAGCGCAGCCTAAGGAAACCGACAGCATGAAACACCATGCGACCAGGCCCGAACCGACAGCCTGAACTAGTGAGGCCACAGGAGCGGCGATCGCCTGCCCAGGCCGCAGGCTTTGAACCCCACGGGACGGAGGGAGAGAGCCCTGCACGGGTACAAAATCTGTATCCGCAGCCACAAAACTGAGCCACAGATCTCTGCATCCCTATCCCCGGACGCGGCTGCCAGGGCCTCGCAGGGCTCTACAGAGGGGCCGTGTCACACGCAGCGCGTTGGGGAAGAGGCGCTCACTGCAGGTGAACTCAATCCAAACACGGTTCCTTTGTTTCTTCCCAAGGAAGTTTCATGGAAGCAGAAAACCGGCAGCTTAGCGAGAACTTGGTGTCAGCCCTTTGCATCCGTCCAGCCTGAAAGCTTTCAGCAAGCACAGGCGCCCCAGCGCAGCACGCAGCCGAGACAAAGCCATGCTAGGCAGACAGCAGCACAGGCCTGGAAGCCAAGTGGTAAGGGATTCCTCAAGTGCTCGAGCACCTAAGTAGGATCTCCCGCCTGTCTCCGATCTCGGGCACCTTCCCTCCCCTGGAATCAGTTGTTCAAGCAAAGGAGGAACCCCCTCGCTGACGCACGTCCTCAGGAGTCTCCTCCTGACCCTGGGACCCCCTGCCATCAACACGCTCTTTGGCCAGCTTGCCCAGGGCTCCCCATACCATCGCTGGGTTGGGGGGGACTTTGCCAGGGGCAGGGGAGAATGTGGCTCAGATCACACGCTTCCCATGCTAGCAGGCGGGAAGTTCTCACCGGCGGGACCTGAGCCTTTGCCGGCCTTGTGCATTTCATTAAATTGAGCTTCACGTGCACAGTCCTGGGGCTGCTTATATCAACTGGAAGGAGGGGACGGCGGGTGAGCCACGTTCCCTGTAAGCGGAGCCCTTGGGTGGCCACCCGGTAGATTCCAATGCAGCCCAGCTGATCAGCAGAGTACCCACAGCTGGCGATGTGTGTTCTATTGGCGGTGCACATCTGTACATGCTTTGGGGCACGTACAATTTATTCTGCACATGGATGTAAACAACGAGAGGGAACATTGGTTGTGTGGGCCAGCAAAGTGCCATCACACTGACACCAGAGACGCAGAAATCACGACCATTGCAATTTTAGAAGAATACTTTCTATGGTTTTAGTTTTGTAAAGATGCTTTGGAAATTCAGTTTTCCATCCTTCCAGACTCCCCCTAAACCCATGTTCTCTCAATCTGTTTTCATCTTAATTACACCCCAGATAGCCCCAAACCAGATGCCTTTATTGCTGGGGTAGTAAATACGTTCCAGGGTTGTCAGTGCGTGTGCAGCACACTGGGTCCCACTGCTCCCAACGCAGCCTTTCACGGCATGAATCACATGTCACGTCGTCAGCCCAAACGCAGGTCTGAAAGCAGCACGCCCCACAGAAAACCGCCGGCCGAGAGGGAGAGAGCGTGTTGGCCCCTCCCCACCTGGGCTTTCCCGAGGCGGTGCACCTGTAGTCATGCTCGCAACAGCTGGAGCGGGCCAGTCGCGTTGAATGGATGTAATCCTTAGCGGCACCACCTCCGCTCCCGCGCTATTTCCTGTCGCCTGAGCGATCTGCCTCCCAGACTCCCACGCGGGAGAGCCCCCGAAGCTGAAAGGCAGGGTCCGAGTTCAGACGCTGTGCCCCAGCATGTTGGCAGCACTCCCTACGCCAGGCAGGGTGCCCTTTAGCTCTCAACACGCCAGGACGCAGCGTCTAACATGGGGCTCCAGCCTTTCTAAGCACGAGGCCACGTTCTGAACTGAAGTGCAATCCAAGCCCAAATACCCTGGTCCCACCTCCTTCCCGCCCCCTCTCATAGGCCCTGCCCCTGCTCACTTCGCCCCCCCCCCCTTTCCCCCGGCAGGGGCGGATGGTTGGGGCACAGGCTCCAGTCTCGGGCTAAGGGATGTGGAATGAGAGAGGGGCTCAGAGCTGAGCCTGGGGCAGGGAGTTGGGCTGCAGGAGGGGTCTAGGGGGCAGGCTCTGTAAGGGAGTTTGGGTGCAGGGGGCTCAGGGCTAGGGCAGGGGTTTGGGGTGCGGGGGGGGGTTCGGAGCTGGCTCCAGTTGGGCCTTGCTTATCTCAGGTGGCTCTCACGTGCTGATGCAATGGGGCTAAGGCAGGCTCACCCCTTCCCTGGTCCTGCCCCACTCCCAAAAGCAGCCAGCGAACTCCCCCCCATCCCAGATCCTGTGGTGCCCCCCACCCTCGTTCTGTGGCGCTCGAATACAGGATGGGAACACCCTGACATCAGCACCCCCTCCTCGCCCTTCCCAGCCAGCTGGAGGCTTCGGTCGATAGCCTCCCGACTAAACCAGTCAGGATCCCCTGTCAGAGGCGCCAAGATCTACCAGCAGATCCCAATCCCCTGCTCGGTGACCACTGGTCTAAAACAACCTTGCTCCCGGGAGGGGCTTGACCACAGAACCGCACGGAGGGAAAAGGAAAGCATTAGGACTTGGCAGGGAAAGCGGTGGGCCTTCCCATAGGACAAACCCGGCTTGCTCCTCACTGGAACCAGCGGTGGCGTTAATCACGGCTAGGGAAGAGACAACTGGAGCTTTCGAATGAGCTCGCAGTGATTTAATGCTCAGCATATCCACAGGGCTGCCCTAGCTCTATGGAGAAATTCTGTTCTATAACAGCAGCGAGCCACTCCAAGCAGCGCCTACTGGAGAAGTACGCGCATTCCTCTGGCGTTGCACCCCCTCCCACCGCAGAGAGCTGCGCTCACACACAGGCATGCTGACACAACTGGAGCTTTCGAATGAGCTCGCAGTGATTTAATGCTCAGCATATCCACAGGGCTGCCCTAGCTCTATGGAGAAATTCTGTTCTATAACAGCAGCGAGCCACTCCAAGCAGCGCCTACTGGAGAAGTACGCGCATTCCTCTGGCGTTGCACCCCCTCCCACCGCAGAGAGCTGCGCTCACACACAGGCATGCTGACTGGTGCACTCATAAGAACGGCCACGCCGGGTCAGACCAAAGGGCCATTAGCCCAGGATCCTGTTCTCCGACAGTGGCCAGTGCCAGGTGCCCCAGAGGGAATGAACAGGACAGGGAATCCTCCAGTGATCCCTCCCTTCTTGTCCATTCCCAGCTTCTGACAAACAGAGGCCAGGGATGCCATTCCTACTCATCCTGGCTAATAGCCATTGATGGACCTATCCTCTATGAATTTAGCTAGCTCTTGTTTGAACCCTGTTGAAGTCCTGATCTTCACAACATCCTCTAGCAAGGAGTTCCACAGGTTGACTGTGGGCTGCGTGAAGAAAAACTTCCTTTGTTTGCTTTCAGACTGCTACGTATTAATTTAATTTGGTGACCCCCAGTTTTTGTGTATGGGAACAAGTATATAACTTTCCTCTATTTACTTTTTCTACACTAGTCATGATTTTTTAGACCTCTAGCATAGCCTCCCTTAGTCTCCTCTTTCCTAAACTGAAAAGTCCCAGTCTTTTTAATCTCTCTGCATATGGCAGCCGTTACAAACCCCCCATCATTTTTGCTGACATTTTCTGAACTTTTTCCAATGCCAAGAGATCTTTTTTGAGATTATGCGACCATATCTGCATGTAGTATTCAAGATGTGGGCATACCATGGATTTATATAGAGGCAATAAACTATGTGCTGTCTTATTCTCGATCCCCTTTATGATTCCTAACTCTCTGTTTGCTTTTGTGACTGCTGCTGCACACTAAGTAGATGTTTTCAGAGAACTATCCACAATGACTCCAAAAATCTCTCTCAAGTGGTAATAGCTAATTTAGCCCCATAATTTTGAACATATACTTGGGATGATGTTTTCCAATGAGCATTACTTTGCATTTATCAGCATTAAAATTCATTTGCCATTTTGTTGCCCAGTCACCTGGTTTTGAGAGATTCTTTTGAACCTCTTCATACTCTGCTTTGGACTTGACTATCTTGAGCAGTTTTGTATCACTTGCAAAGTTTGCCAACTCACGGTTTATCCCTATCTCCAGATCATTTATGAATACGGCAAATAGGATTGGTCCCAATATGGACCCCTGCAGGACACCTCTCGTTACCTCTCTGCATTCTGGAACCTGATCATTTATTCTTATCCTTTGTTTCCTATCTTCAATGATCAATCCACGAAAGAACTGCCCCTCTGATCCCATGACAGCTTACTTTGCTTTGAACTTAAAAAAAAACCCCTGCTATTACTTCTTAAGTTTTTGGCTAGCCGTTCTTCAAATTCCTTTTTTGGCCTTCCTAATGACATTTTACACATCAGTTGACAGAGTTCGTGCTCCTATTTGCCTCACTAGAATTTAACTTCCACTTTAATTGAACTTCCACTCCCATGTTTAAAAAAAGTTGTTTCAAGAAAGCCAGCCGGAGTTAAAACCTTCAGGCCTTGTGGACTTCTCCGTAGGCTTGGTGATGCGAAAGGAACTCTGCTTTGATTCTACCTCCAGCTGCCAACGAGTAAGCACTGCAGCAAATACTTACATCAATGATTAGGTACTCGACAGGGAGCGGGCGAGCTAGCTGCGTGATCTCGTTGCCAAACTTGTCTATGTCCTGAAAGAAGAAGAGTACCATTAGTGACCTGGGGCAGACTAGATGTATTCCTGAGCTTCTAAACTACTGGGATTGCTTTGCAGATTAGGAACCACACAAGACAATTAGTCACCTTCCTCTCTCATGTTGTTGGCTGCTAAGATGTATCGCTGTCCCTGCTGTTAAGTCTGCATATCCCTACTCTTCAGGGAATTCCAACCCAGGGCTCAGTTGATGTTAGAAGACAAGCCAAAAGGTGCCATGGTCACACGTCCCCTTCACACTACAGAGGCATACAAGGAAGACTTTCTTGCATGGGCTGTCCTGTCATGTCAACATGTTGGGAGTCTGCAAATTGCATGCGCTCATGACCAGCAGACCCGTTCACGGCCACTGGAAAAACCTGTTCCTTTTTCTTAAATATGCAGATCTGGAGAAGCCGTACAATCTGCCAAGGCCTAAACTTGTTTCGCTTTGTCAGAGGAATTGAACACAAAGTTTAATTATGAAGAAAAACGGCCAGCATATGTTCATTAATCATGAAATGACAATTAGACTTGATTTATGTCAAACACACCGAGTTCAAACACAGCTTCAGAAAGAAATGAATAAGAACTGACTCTTTTCATTACGGATTCCGTAAGAGGGGGACTGTATTTTCTACCTACATCATCCCTTAACATGATATAAATCATTCGAGCCCCACATAAATCATACATCCAGGATTCCCAGTCACGGCCATTGCAGGAAAGTTCGCATTTGCCGAGTGGCTGGCAGGCAAATCCCATGACTGTTATATAGACCCATACTTGGCTCCCACATGGTCTCATCCCAGAATGCTCAATTTACTTCCTGGGGACCGCTGTAAAAAAAGACCATGACATCTATCCCTCAGTCCCGCACTGTAGACAGAGGGGGCATCTTCTGGGGTTTGTGAAACCCTCTTAAAACAGGGCCTGCAAGCAAAACACTTTGGAGACAACGTTGTGGATAACACCGTCCCTTTAAAGCTATGTTTTCTGGCTTTGACTACGCTGCTATGTCCCCTCTAGTAACATTTCTCTACATGAGTCCCTCGAGGACCGGGATTCTCAGCCTATTTACCATTGCGGGTCGCATATGCAGCTTTGTGTGTCATATGGGCTGCACCCACACGATACATATACCCTGCCTCTAAGGCTGTGGGGATGTTATATGGGCCACAGCTGTGCGCTGAATGGGCAGGTTGAGAACCGCAGCTCTGCCATTTGTGTATCAGAAACACACAGCACCCCCGGCTCTGGGCAGCCCTCACACGCTCAGTCATGTGCCTAAGCGGGCTGCAGTAGGCGACTTTGCTTGCAGAAGCCAATGGCACCGAACGCCCTGAGTCCCTGGAAATCCTTCCCTCTTTGCAGGAGCGACCTTCCAGTCTCTGAAGTTTCCTTTACAAGGGATTCTGATGCGAATGATTTCTCCTGGAACGTGACGAGTTGTTGGCTCCGTGGTTATTTTAGCAACAACCCTGCTTGCTTGTGGCCTTAGATCTCCCTGGCTCAGACAGCAGCAGCCGGAGCCACGGTGCCTTTTCAGAGGGATCGCGGGGCCCCAAAGCCAGCCTACGCTTCCATCTCGGTAACGCCGCAAGAATCGTCCCAAACACTCGCCTGCCCCTGCAAGAATGAACCTGCCACAACTCACACATAATTAGACCATCTGGAATTCATTTTCAAATCTAATTAAGTTCTAATATGCAGAAACATTTTTCCAGCACCTGTTCGCTTTAATCTTTCCCTCTGGGGATTGCCATGTTAAAAGCTTTCTTTTTAATGTCAGGCTACTAAGGCCTGAAAGAGATTTTCTAAAATTGTTACTACCCAATTGACACCTACCATCCCCCAGCTACAGGAAGTACTCATGTCCCCCTCCCCTGCAGAACGAAGTAGGCACCTATCTCCTCCCCACATGGACCGTTTTATTAGGCAGTTACATTTTACAGCCCCAACAAAACTGCTACGAGAGCCGCGTTTTCATTCCAAAGCTGGCAGCCAGCAGGACCCTAGCAGCCTGTGGCAAGCTATTACTGTGCCTACGAACTCCGGGATTCCCAGTGCCGTGCATTGCCAGGTGCTCTGCTTAGCAGCCACGGCTCCAAAGGGAGGGCAGCAAGGAATTAACGAAGGCTCAAATTCTACTTGTTGTCTGGATTAAAAAAATAATAATAATAAAAAAAATCAAGCACTAGGCTCCAGAGGAATTGGGCAATGACTCATCCCAGAGACAGGAGTGGAGTTAGCTCCAACAACCCCAACATTTTCAAACAGTTTGACTTAACGGGAGCACGGCTTCCTTCTCCAGGTAGGCAAATGATTAATCCCTTGGCGTGGCGAAACAGCATTAGCCAAGGAAGTTACTCTCCGTGGTCTCTGCGTCTGCTGGCAAGCTGGCGCCACAGGCTAGCAACAGGGAGACAGCAGCTCAGGTAGAGTTCAGATTCTCAATCGCTAGGGGCTGGCGTACGCACGATCAGCCACACGCGAAGGGCGAGGGCGATGTTCCAAACGCACCTTTGCCAGCCATTTGCCTGAGACCTCCTACCGCCCGACGCAGCATCGTCCCCGTTCCTTGCGCTCCCCTCTCCGTAGCCATCTGTCGTCACTTGACTACACTGTCCGTGCAACAGGGACTGTCTGTGTTTTGTGTCTGTACAGCGCCTAGCACAACAGGCTCCTCTGGTCCAGGGCTGGGCTCGTAGATCTGTGTCCATCTTCAATAACTACAAATGGACCAGGGCTCTTTATTCGGCAAGGCAAACGGCCTTGGAAAGTGGAGACTCCTTTACACCATTGGTGTTCTCTCAAGATCCGCTCTGCCTTGGTTTACACAGCTTAGGTCGCTTTGCAGTTACACCCAGCTGATTTGGGGTGCTGCGGACGTTGTGACCGGAGCTTTTTGTCTGGAGAGCTCAGAGCTGCACACACAAAGTGAGCACCATCCTCGTGTCAGAGGGGGAATCTGCAGCGGAGGTGACGAGACCGGCCTAGCTTGCACGGCAGGTCAGCGACAGAGCAGAAATCCTGGCTCCGTGTCCAGTGCTGTCTTCACTGAGCCAAGCGCCAGTCTCCTGTGGGGCTGTTTCTCAGCCAAAGGGAAACCAGCCCTTTCCAGCTCCAACACGCGCATCCAGCAGAAGGCCAATACAAGTGGGTACTAGCAGCACGTTACACGTGCACGCCCCCTCGTGCGCAGACCACTCACGACGGCATTCTGAGGATCACACTCCCTCCAGACGCTGTAACCACCGTGACGTTCTTCTGATTGTTCAATGGCATTCCGAGGATCACACACTCCCTCCAGACACTGTAACCACCGTGACGTTCTTCTGATTGTTCAATCTTAGCCACACCGCCCTGGGCACCGACTTAGCTAATTTTCTGAACCAGGCTAAGGACTGCCCTGTGCCTTTTACTCATGGAGAGGCAGAAGCAATCCCTGGTACAAACCAGGAGGCTACTGAAGGCCAGCTCTCTCCCACCAGCTAAGACAGGGTGACCTTTGAACATCGATCAACTCCCTTGCGACTGGGAGCTGTCTACGTGTGGCAAGCTTTTGCAATAAGAATAAACTCAGTCTCCTTCCATCCTTCCCGACAACTATCCTCTCAACTACACTCACCTTTGTGGTATGAAAGCTCAGGATAAGATGGAAACACCCCTCGTCCACTCTTTGGCCACACTGGGGCAATGGCCAGAAAGAACAGCCACCTCAGACCCCTTCTGCGGGTTTAAATGCAGGAAGAAAAAGTGGGCTACAGAGAACCTGTTCTTGCGTGTACGAGAATGTTCCTCGACGGAGAGTTCCTGTCATAACTTGCAGAGAGTCCTTTAATGGAGGCCGGAGGTGCATTTGGTCCGCACAGCACAGCTACCTGACTTTCACCAGGAGGAATTTCAAACGTACAGGCAGAGGGAAAGGGAGTTTAGGAACTGAGCGCTCCTAACACGCTCTGACTGTTACTGGGTAGAAGCTGGGGTTGGTAACCTCCATGGGCCTTAATAAAAACCAGCACAACACTGTCAAGTCATTCCCAGAGCCGGACAAAACGGCGCCTTCCAGAGCTTGGGCTGGAACAGAAGTTTAACAGCTGATGCTTCTCGCGGCAGACTCCGCACGAGGCTGAGCACGAGTCGTCCGAATGCCCTGCCTGAGCCTATTCATCTCCGGCATGTCCCTTTTGTAGCACAAGTATCAGTAACAAGGGCTTTCGTCTTTCCCCTTCCCCAAGCAAGTTTCTTGGCTAGCAGAAGAGCACTGAAACGAAACTCCCAACCAGGAGGGCATCTTGTGGGTGCTGAGATTCCAGGCAATTGCCTGGAGTTCACCGAAGAATCAAGCCCTGCAAACGCGCTCACCCCATGACCACTTAAAGGCGTCAAAGGGTTGAGCTCTCTTACGTTTTTGCTCCATGGGATGGAACGGACAGACAGCCACAAAGTAAGTCTAGTGTGAGGGTCCTGCGCTGCTGCCGTCTGCGCCAAGGGCTCTGCCGCCTGGGATTTGCTGGTGCATACAATAAAAGGACACCGCGTGAGGATGGAAAGCCATGGATGCTGCAGCCTCTCTGAAGCTGGCTTGGGGAGTTGGCAGCAATCACACACAGTGCACAGCAACACGCACAAGGCACACAGCGGGACCGTAGAGATACACAATCACATCTCCAGAGGTGCTGAGCTTCCGCAGGCCCCAGTGACGTCAATCGCCAACGTTTCAGATACATCCCTGGTTTGAACAAGATGGGTAGGTGCCCTTATTTACTTCCCAGAAACACCGGGTGGAGGAGACAGAGGGCAGGGACTTACACCCAAGCCTTCTGGAGTCCTGAGATGAGGTGGAACCTTTAGCTGCCCCTGCAGCCAGGAAAGGAACTCAGGAGGAGGTTCACACCCCCAGGGTCTCCCGTGCTAGTGGACAGAACGGTTACCATCACAATTACAGCCATTGCGTGAGGGAGGGGGACGTTAGCAGGCTGGCGTAGAGCGACTGTTGTTGAGAAGGGCTAACCAGTCTTTTTGCAACATTATAATCAGAGCCCCACCAAAGTCATGGCCATGGAACCCCCCCACCATCCCCAGGAGACCTGGTCTTGTGTGTGCTTTTACCTTGTACAGCTTCCACAGGGCAGACCAATGGGAAGTCCGGGCCCAAAAGAGACTGTGTGTGTGTGTGTGTGTGTGTGTGTGTGTGTGTGTGGG